ATAACAGAGGTTCGGCTAGGTGGTGCACACATAAAGTTAAAATATGAACGGATAAACTACCTTGTCAAAAAAGAAAAACCTGTTTTGGGCAGTCTACGGCGCCATTTCTCAGGCGACGCAGACGGTGCTTTTGACTTGGAGACGCTGCCGACAGATGGCGTATGCATCGAAGGCGCGTGAGGCACGCCGATTTGGTTTTCCATGGCAGATGATCTAGCGAAAGTCTTTCCATGCATACGCCGTCTGTCGGCAGCATCTCCAAGTCAACAAACACCATCTGCGTCATCGGGGAAATGGCGCCGTAGATTGCCCGAAACAGGTTCTTAGTTTTTATTTTTTTGAATGAGACAAGTTTATCTGTTGATTTTTTAACTTTATGCATGCACCACTTAGCCGCACCTCTGTAGTAAACCCCACCGCGATACATTGAGAAACCGATTCTTGCGGACCATCCAAAGTGGGATCGAAGCGTCAGTTTACACGCTGTAGTTAAGAAGTTAATTACTCAAAATTAATTACGAACCTAATTATACCAATCATTATTAATTTTCTTAAATAGGCACTTTGACAGAAACCAACAGGACATAAACCTGCTTTCTGTGTGATGCATACTTTTTGTTGGAGCAATGTGGCTCGTATTTTGAGAAACACCCTGTAAATTTCTTTTAGCATTAAAGTCATGCCATTAAAAAAAAAAAAAAAAATGAGGAAGAAAATGGCACATTTTCATTTAAAATTCATTCATGATCTCAGTATGTTAGTGACCACAGTACTCCCCAAAAGCTCCTTGCTTTTGTAGCACACCCTCGAGCTCTGCCCAAATGCAATGCTTGTACTTATGTAAGCTGAATTACGCCTAGTCACATTGCCCAAGATTGACCGTATCTTTCAGTCCCAATTACTATAACATTATCGAAGTGGTTGAACTGTTGAAAACAAGTGATGACAAAGAATGAAGTTTAGAACATACTGTCGAAACCGGTTTTAACGAAGTCAACGCGAATCGGAAATCCCTTCGCTATATCCGCTATTTTGTTATAACCGGTCTCAACAGTTGGTGCGTAAAACGAGCGGAAAATCAAGTAGAAATCAAAACGAGCAAAAATAATTCCACGGCATTAAGAAATAGCCACATGTGGGTACTTATTGTACGTCATAAATCATGAATATGCTTTTAGCAGCACCCAGATTGCAAATTATATGCAGTGCAGTCTTTAAAAAAAAAGTGTGGAACTATGTTTTCACATACTGATTGAGTGATGAGGCATATCAAGCAGTAGACAACACTGCTTTGTCCTTGCCATCCTCATTAACATTGATTGATTGATCTCAGTCTTATTTTCGGTTTGTTCTTTGGATGTATGTTCCAGCCTACAGCCAATCCCAGAGGCACCCTGATCATAATTTTTGTCAATATTCAGCCGAAACTAACAAAAAAAAAGCTAGATTTTAGGTTTCATCACTGAATTAGCAGAATATTGGGAAAATCGGTAGATCTGCTGATCGATTACTAGCAGTAGCAACTCTGTGGGGTAAAGCTAGCATGGTGAAACCAACACTTCAATTTCAGTTTTTTTTTTTTATTTTTTTTTTTTTTCAGTTTTATTTTATTTTTTAGAAAGCGCATACAAATAATTGAAAAGACAGATGGACGTGTAGCCAATTGGCTAGTGTGGGTTCATTAAAAATACTATTATCTAAGATGCTGAGAGTTTAACATGTGAATTAAAAGACAAACTGAAAAGCAACTTAACAGAATGTAGACATAATTTATTTCGAGCTATATTAATTAACTAAACGAAAGCAGTGGCCATGAGATGAAGATGATTTAGGGAGAAAAGAGAAGATAGTGCTTCAGTCCTTTATTAAAGTTATTTGAGTTTCGGAGATCAACTGACAATGAGTTCCAGATTTTTGTACCAGTGAATTGGATTAGTTTTCCCTTTATACATTCTGGCATTGTGGAAGATTAAAAGTAAAAAGCCCAGCTAAATTTGCTCTAGTTTGACAAGAACCTTTAAGAAGTATTGTTGTGGGAAATGGGCTGTTTTAGTTACAGTTCTATGAAACATTGTAGCAATTTTGTGTTATAATATACTGAAGTGTTAGTATACAAAGCTGGTGAAATGAACCGTGTGATTCTTGTGTATGCAGTTAAACCCGACTATAACAAAATTGATAAAAGTTTGCAATAATTCGTTATATGGAGGATTTTGTTACATGCAGTTTTCGCGGAAAAACTTGTAAAGGACACGTGGAAAGAAAGCGAAAATTAAAAATTCACGTGGGGAAACTTTTGCTCACTTGGATTTGTGCTTGATGGAGTGAGTTCGTTAAATCAAGGTTATTCAGTGCGAGCGCTTCGTTACATGGAGTTCACAAATACAAGCGCTTCTATGAAGATCGCGTCGGGGAATTGAAAAAGTTTGTTAAATAGAGGATTTCGTTGTATACAGGTTCGTTACATCCAGGTTTAACTGTAATACAAGTTGGTTGTAATTTGAATGGGTCTTTTTTGTCAAATAATTATGGGCGTGAGATAGGTGTCGTAGGTCGTACCCCAAGTTTCTGTACAGTATGTTAGATGACTATGAAATATAGAGAAATAGATCATTTTTATTGGGAATGAGTGCAAGACACAGCAACATCATTTTAAAGTCATCCAGTGATTGTGGTGGCACCTGGTTTTACCAGTGTTTAAGAAACTAAATATGGCAGTGTTTAACTTCAGAGAGCAGCATACTATTTGTCTTTTGCAAATATGTTGTATCAGGCAATTTTGTCACTAGATTAGGTCATAAACGGTTAATTTCATCAGTTGTCACAATTAATAAAAAAATAGATGCCATTTTTCAATCTTGAAACCAAATGCTACTCGCAACTACGACTCTCCGCCACCAAAGTTTCGCGCTACTGCTAGTCCAGAGGTGATGGCGGTGGCCATGTTCTGGGTGGGTGAAGGTGTCATACTCGCCCACAGCATCTCAAAGAGCACGACAGTTACAGTTGAACCCTACAGAAAAGTTATGGAGAAAAAATTCCTTTCCACATTAAAGAAAAAAAACAACCAGAAAAGAACACGGTCCTGATCTTTCATCATGACAATGCACCTGCTCATTGAGCAACACATCTTCAAACTTTTCTTCATGAAAATGGCCTTAAACTGGTTGCTTATGCTCCTTACTCCCTAACCTTGCACCTAGAATTTTTTTTTTTTTTTTTTATTATTAATTATGGAGGGCATATTTTGTGGTCGAGTGCTTCCGAGGCTATCTGCTGTTGCATCGGCACATAACATCCCAGTGGTCTCGACAGATCCCTAAAGAAGTCTTCGCATCGGCGATGCAGTCTTAGTGCCAACATTGCGAAAAATTTATAGAAGAAAAGTGATCAAGTTTCTGCGTTTCTTGCATGTACTTTTTCATAAATAAATTGGAGACCTTAGAACGTGAATGCCCCTTATAGTAGCGGAATAAGTTTCTCAAGTCGCAAAAGTGAGGTCCTTGCTAAAAATAAGTCGTTTACTGTAATTACAAACATTATTTTCACGTCTTTGATGTCACTTACTAAAGACATGAAAATACTTATTAAATTTTTTTGATGTCTGACATCAAAATAGTTGTTGCATTATATCAATTGCTGCCATTAAAATAGCTATTTTTTTTATTTTAACGCTCTCTCTCAAAATTTAGAAGGCAGTCCCACGATTACAGTGAAAGAACAATCATTTTGTGGTTGGCATCGGTGTATAAATTCCCCGTGTTTTCCGACACCAAATTTCGGACAATTGACAAACATTCTTAGCCCATAAGGTGAATAACTCCAAAAAAAGTCCCGAGTCATTAGTGTAACTAGCAATTGCTTGGCACCACTATCATTCTTTGTATTATTCACAGGTAATGAGGCGACTCTCTTGAGCATTTGCACCATCAAGGAGGCAGTGTTTGCACTCGGAACACTATTTGATGCCCTGATTGCTTTAGTAGCCTTTCCACACTGGTCATTTACAATTACAATAAAATCCGAACAAAATGACAAAGCTGTCAGAGGGAGGGAGGGAGGCTGGATGCACAAAGACACTTTGCTCAAAAACTCGCATAAAAGTGAAGGCAAAAAAAAAAAAAAAAAAAAAAAACTTTTAGCTTTTTCACTCTGGTGAAAAAGGAAGACCAGCGGAGTTGTACAATGAAAAGTAATGGCGAGCCGCAAGTCGGCAAGCCAGAGGGAAAGGCTGCCGCCATTTATGAGCGACAGCAGCAACCAGATACGTGGCTTGCCGCCGTCGCTCATAGATGGCGGTAGGTGTCCAAAGTTCGGTGTCTTCATTTTTTTTTTTTTTGCGAGTGACACGATCCTGGGGAGACTAGCCCTTAACAACTCCGCTGTAAAAAGAAAAAGAAAACATTTACAATTTTTTATGTTGCATAGTGCATAGCACTTATTTCCATTTGTGAATGCAGGCAATATAAAGTGAGACTTGTTTTTGTGACGGGAAAAAATTAATTGATGTGCTGATGAAAATGTGTCCCGAGGGACTTTCGCCACCATTGGATCCTGCTCTCATGGACAATTTTCTTGAATCAGAGATTTTTGTCATAGAATTTGAAGGTTGTGAAAAGACAGTGACTCATAGAATTTGAAGGTAGTGAAAAGACAGTGACCCATAGAAGCTTGTCTAAATTTAGTAAGGTTTGCCAAAATAAACAAAAATAGAAAAAGCAAGTGGGAATACTTTGAAGTAATCAAACCTCTGCAAACATGGTGTTCTCTGCGTCTTGAAGGGTCATGAAAGCATTGACTTTGCAGGTTGAGTGTAAAAATGTCCCAAGTTCTAAAAATGCAAAGAAAGGAAAAGTTCTCTTCCGGGCTGGGCCTTACCAAGATCATCTAAAGTTTACTGCACCTGTAAGCTTTTGGGACTTTAAAAGCACACTTGAGCATAGAAGTGTTGTGAAGGTATATAAAAAAAAAAAAGTGTCATTATAGCTCTTCTCCTTCAGGGCACAGCTGCACGATTGATGGATGCCGAAGACATGACATCGTCACCCCCACGCCTTCCTCCTGTGAGCGGGGTGTTGGTTACTGCGGTAAGCTGACTTATTTTGGCATGTTACGGGTCCCCCGCATGACTAATTAAATGAAAAATGCTACATGTATGCTATAGCAAAGTGCTCGACGTACTGTAAAGAACACGGTTTTTGCAAGTCACCTTCAATTCATGAAAAGTTGGTCAAGCAAAATGTCAACAATATTGAGATGCTCTGTTCCACTTGGTATCAGTGTAAATAAAAAAATACATATTAGTAGGATCACACATGAATGTCGGTGGGTTATATTAGTAATCTTCTTGAAAAAAAAAAAAAAAAGAGCCATCAGTCGGAACATACACCCACTTAAACCACATATTTGCAGCCTTGCGGACAAAGCACAATAGTAACCAGATTGTGTGGCATCTTGATGCTTCTGCAAGCCCTCGGCTACAGTCACATTTCACTTTGCCAGAGCGAAAGGACGCCTCTCGCCTCCAGACCAGTTGGTCCTAAGATGTGGGGGAGGTTGGCTGTAGTCTGTGCTAGTTTTTGTATAGGCTCCTTGCATATTAGTAGGATCACACATGAATGTGGGTAAGTTATATTAGTAATCTTTTTGAAAAAAAAAAATGAGCCATTGGTCGGAACATACACCCACTTAAACCACATATTTGCAGCTTTGCAGACAAAGCACAATAGTAACCAGATTGTGTGGCATCTTGATGCTTCTGCAAGCCCTCGGCTACAGTCGCATTTCACTTTGCCAGAGCGAAAGGAAGCCTCTCGCCTCCAGACCAGTTGGTCCTAAGATGTGGGGGAGGTTGGCTGTAGTCTGTGCTAGTTTTTGTATAGGCTCCCTGCAGGAGCCAGAGTTGCGCGTCTTTTTTACACGTGCCGCTGTGCCGCTATTCGCCTAGATCAATCACGTGAGAAGCAAGGAATCTAGTGCCGTGCAGGAAAGTGGCTTCACCGACATTGCACGTGCCGTATGTTCCCCTGCTTTTGCTTTCTTCTCCTCCTTCTCCTCCTTTCCTGTTTTCCATGCATGGTGGCACGCACGGTGCCGTTATTCGCCGACTTTGGTCACATGGCCGGCTGCAATCGACGGAGAAACAGCTCCTACACGTTAGAGGAGTGGCTGTTCCGATGGCTGAATACGCAACTCTGACTCCCGTAGGGAGCCTATACAGGAACTCTAGTCTGTGCCGCTGGTTAGAAGTAGTGGGGTAAAGGCATTGCGAGAGACCGACTGGCTGGTACAGGGGAAATATACCACACTCGGACACAGCTCCTTCAATTTCTTCTTGCTTGTAACTGCTGTGTGCCTGACAATCAGTTAGTTTGTATCCTAAAATGACCTGTGATTGGCTACAAAATTGTATGACCCTATTGCAGCAGGCCATTTATTGTTTCCTGCAGGCGTGAGGATGGCGTTAAAGGGCAACTCCGCTCGATTTCGGAAATTTTGAGATAGTGGGTGATATAAACGTGAAAAGTACTTCAAAGCAACCCTAGACCGTTTGTCTCATTAAAAGCAAAATATTTTTCGTGCGATTTGTTATTTACCATAATCGCAAACTGAAACTGAAACTTCGGCACAGCCGGGCAACATTGTACCCTCAACGTCAGTTGCATACGCACCCAAGTGGAATACAATCGGTCACGTGATCTACCAGCGGTAACCCAGAAAGACGCGGATGCGAGGGGAAGGGTGAGGAGGGAGGAGGGAGGGCGGGCCTAGCCGCGGCGGCGAACAGGCAACACAAGCAGCGGCGAAGCAGTCTATGTAGGCGGCAACCCAGGCGGTTAGTCTGTTGGCACCGGTTGGCACGTATGTCAGCGAAACTCATCCCGTACAACTCTCTCTCCCTATTTTTGTTTCTTTTGTTCTCTTTCATTTCTTTTTTCTTTGTCTCGCCTGATATGGGGCGCGTCCGTAGCACCGCCTGGTAAGCTCTCCCTGGAAAAGAAAATACCAAGAAAAAAACTGTGTATGCAACAGACGTCAGCCACAACGGAAATACAGCGTTGGCTGCGCCGCACGTCGCCCGCTAAATTAGCGGATTTTGGTGACTTCGCGCATCTCAGTTTTTGTCGGCCGGTTTAGTGATCTTTTAGGTGGTATTGAGTTATAATATTTGACATTCGGTCTCTCTAGATGATATTAAAGAGAGTCGCAGTGTTTGCTTAGAACCGAGAATGAAGCGGAGTTTCCCTTTAACGAAGCATGCATGACCAAACCAGTGCCAAATTGCCATTTGTCCTTCTAAAGGACATAATAGGGGGTTGACCAAAAATTTACCATCCTGTAGGGTGGCAAACTTGGCGGATTTTCGTAACTTTTGCCTCACAAAATTTAGTGCTTAAAATTATTTTAAAATTTTTGTGCATTTTGATTTGGCATTGGATTTGACTTCACAAAATGTTGACTGTGGAAAACAAAAGTCGACTCCAGCATTTTGGGTTTATTTATTTATTTATTCATAACACCTTGAAGGTCCATTTCTGGACATTACACAAGGGGGGGATTTTTTCGAATTACAGTATAGTCAACACTTAAAAGAAGAAAAAAAAAATAGCAGTACGACCAGGATAGCAATATCACAACTGAAAAACCACTATAACAAAATTATGTATTATACAAATTGTAGGATTCGAGCACACATAACACTTCATTATCTGGTCAAGAACATCACTGTAAACGAAAACTAATTAGTACTTAAAAAATCTAAAACAGCTACTCGGAATGCTGTAGGGTCGGAAAGTGCGGTTATGTGATCAGGAAGAGAATTCCAATGCATGATTGCGCGTGGTAGTGAGGAATTATTGAACGCAGATGTATGACCAAAAATGCGCTTATAACTTCAGCTGTTAGTCAAACGACGAGATGTTCGGTTAGGGGGCTCAAGCAAGGGGGCGATAACGTTGGGGTTAGAATACCGTGATGTATGAATAATGCATAAAAGGGCAGCAGTGCAACGTATTTCAAGTGGTTGTAAGAGGATAGAGTTCTTAAGAAAGGAGACACTTGCTTGGCGAGAGTAGGTTGATGTTATAAAACAAACTGCACGTTTTTGGATGCCTTCGATCTGATTGATGAGGTATTTCTGGTGGGGGTTCCATACAGCAGAAGCAAATTCGAGTATAGGGCGAACGTATGTCTCATACGCTAACTTGCGTAGATGGGGTGGTGCAGAGAAAAGATTGCGTCGCAAGTATCCCAGTGTTTTGGATGCAGAACTTGTAATGGCGTCAATGTGATTAAACCAGGATAGGTTGTCAGAGAGATGAACACCAAGGTATTTGTAAGAGGATGAGAATGAGAGGGGCGAGTTATATAAAAGATATGAATGACGCGATAGCGATTGTTTGCGACTGAAAGTTACTACATTACATTTTGAACCATTAAGAGACACAAGCCAATTGTTGCACCAAGCACTGATGGAGTTTAGGTCTTGCTGGAGAATTATGTGATCATCGGGATTAATGATTTGCCTGTAAACAACAGAGTCATCCGCAAAGAGGCGTATTTTGGACGAGATGGAATAGGGTAAGTCGTTCACGTATATTAAAAAAAGAAGAGGCCCGAGCACGGTTCCCTGTGGCACACCAGAAATTACATCACACATGTTAGATTGGTAATTACCGCACACTGTGTATTGGCGTCGTAGCGTTAAGAAATTACGTATCCAGGAAAGTGTAAGAGAGTCAATGTGAAGTGAAGAGAGCTTAGCGAGTAGTCGGCAATGAGGAACACGATCAAATGCCTTGGAAAAATCTAAGAAAATGCCATCAGTTTGAGTGTACTGGTTCATGTTTATGTGAATGTCGTGAGTGAATTCTATTAGTTGTGATTTGCACGAAAACCCCTTACGAAAACCATGCTGCTTCTCATAAAAAAATTGTTATTTTCTAGATGAGATACTGTGTGGGAGAATATGATGTGCTCAAGCAATTTGGATGCCACGCTCGTCAAGGATATAGGGCGGCAGTTTGAAACTAGGCTACGGTCATCATTTTTGTGGATCGGGATAATCTTGCCAATCTTCCAATCGGTGGGAATTCGGCCTGTGGCTAGGGATTGTTGGAAGAGTAGGCAGAGGATTTTACTAGAGATTTCTTTGGTCTTCTTTAAAATTTTTGAATTTATATTGTCGTGGCCAGTGGAAATGGATATTTTTAAGTCGTCGATAAGCATTTCAATGCGGTGAGCAGAGATAGCGATGGGCGCCATAAATGGGTAGTCGAGTTCACCAACTGGAGGAATGTTGTCCGTGTTTTCAATGGGGAAGACTGATTTGAAGTGGTCGTTAAGGACCATCGGGTTATCAGCCTCCAGAATACGTGTGCCTCTGTCAGTCGTTAATCGTATGGCACAGGGGTTCTTAAGAATTGGTGTTGAAAATTATTAAGTTTCAATCCCTTGGATTGAAACCTGGCTAGTTTTAACCTTGGGGCTTTAAAACAAGTCAAGACACTGCAACATATGCTTCCAGCACAACAGGGGCAAACTAGTTAAAGTGACGGTGCAACCGTTTTCATACTTTGAGTAAGTATTACTTAGAATTAATCCTCGACGTTCATAGCCCACGGAACACGTGTCACTTTTATCTCTCCATGCAGTGACAGTTGCAGAAAAGGAACTAGAAAGAAACATGCAGAGTTCTCCCTCTATCTCTCAGCCGGAGCAAGCGGCTACATGATACGGTGCCGATCATATGCCGTCAGTGTTCATTATAGCCATGCGCTGATGTTGGCAAAGCGCAGGGCCGGGTCCCAAACATTAGGGCTATTCCCGCCACCTCACCAATTAGACACGAGCTGCTACTCAAATGCTTGTCGAGGCATTGATTGTCACGAACCAAGTTGAAGTGCTCACACAGTGCTCGTATCAAATCTATAAGCTGCTTTTGAATATCCACAAGTAATCCCCGTGACTATGCCAACACTGGGTTTGTGAGAGAAAGGTTGAAAGAAAGGGTTGTTTTTTATCCTTTTGATGCATGGGCAGTATAGGATGCCAAACCCACCGGTCGAAGATGCATTGGAGGCACCGTAGCTGAAGCGAGTGTATGGGCGACATTCTGGCTCGCGGTAATCTCGAGAAATGCGTGGCCAACTCCTTGCGCAGAATCCGTCGGTCGTGCGTCCCGTGGCATTCCGGGCGTCGCACGGCGGAAGCAGCAGCGCCCTCCCGGAGGCCGGCAGTCACGTGGCCGACGAAGGCAGCTCCAGTAACGGCTCAGTGTTGAGCTTCCCAGAAGATGGCCGGCGCCCCCCGGCAGGCAGCTGCCACTGCTCCGGCCACCGCTCGGCCCCCGTACTGGAGTGGGGCCAGGGGGCCGCCCAGCGCTGGCGCACGGCCTTCTACCCCGCCCACGCATCCAGCCAGGGCACACCGCCGTCTCTGTGTACGGTGTTCTTCCACCAGTCGATGCCGCAGGTGGGCGCCGACAGCCGGGGGTCGCGCTCGAGCAGCGGCGGCCCCGTCGACGGCGTGCTTGACTCAGGCCACAGCTCGGCGCTGCTGCCCGAAGACCGGACACCGCCGTCGCCCAGCGACTCGGGCATCGCCGAGCTCGAAGCGCAGCTGCGCGAGAAGGACGCCGAGATTGCGCACCTGCGCCAGACGCTGGAGCAGAACGAACAGGCCATCATAAGGGTGTACGAGGAGAAGGAGCAGGCCTGGCAGAGGCGCATGGAGGAGCTCAAGAGCCTCTACGAGGAGCAGCTGACCCAGCAGAGGCTGCAGACCCTAGCTGCAAACGTCTGCACCCACCACCCAGTGAGTTTTCGATAGTTTCCCAGCTTGGCTGTCCTGTAAAGATGGCGAAACATTGAGCTTCTCAACACTGTAAGAAAAGTTTGGGAAGTCACCAGAACGTTGCAATGACATCACAATGGACACTTAAAAAGTTTGACTCTCTAGTGGAGGCATTTCAGAACTATGCATGGGTGCTGTGGCAACACTGTGTCGACCACCATTAGGTGATGGACTCAGTGTTGCCACACTCCGGTTTCATAGGAGAGTCTCTGGAGCGGTATTGCCCGCTCCAGGGATGGCTTCCATTATTGTGGCACCCTCTGCAACCAGTGTTGCCTGTCAGAATCACAAAACATAGCACCTCACTGTTGCCTCGGTTAGCACCTCACCACCAGCTTGTTTCATGGTTCAACAGTCAGTAATGGAAGTGCTGTGACATTTGTGCCAAGCTGTGCCATGAACGAAAGTCTGCTACATCTTGCGCCAAAATGCCATTTTCGCTAAGAATTATGACACACCTGCACCGAGATGGGACTAAACAAAGTAAAACATATAAATATGTTATTATTGCTCGATTCTGTATTCAGAAAAGTAGAAGGAAAGGAAAATGGTACACATCTGGTATTCGCAGCGTCTCCACTCACTGTATAGTTTGTTTCATCTTAGGTCAGAGCACAGTCGAAGGCTCGAACACATACAGCCACGAGCACACATATACTAAGAGCGCAAGTCATGGGACCTTCGCTGCATTTAATTGATTTAACCGATGAAAGAACACAAAAAAGATGAGGAAAGATTGGTCCCATTGGCTCATAGCATCGACGGCGCTTTGACTTGAAGTGAAACGAAGTATATAGATCGCTCGTCAACCGCTGGCCTGTCATCGTCTGAATTTCCAGACAATGTTGGCAACATCAAGAGCTATAGGTCGCGAGAAAATTTTGCGAAATAGTGGGGTGGTGTCTACGAGTGTTGCGGAATGGGCACCCCCATTCCATTCCAATACCATTACGGGAAATTAGGGTTTTCGATAATTCAATTCATTTCAACTCCTAGGAATGGGTACGGGCCCATTCCCACTCCTGGAATGACTGAATCGTTCTATTCCATTCCTCCAATTCCTAAACGTAAAAATTGGCACTTGACAGCTACATTGTGTTGCCGGCATAAGCAGCATAAAGCTGACATTATCAAACACATACAAAATTGAAAAAAAAAAAAGGTATGTGTCTCAAAAAGGCACCGATTTTTTTCTAAGTGGAGTGCTGGTAGTACGAAGTGTTTGTTTGCATTGTACGGCAAACATCGAGAAAGACCCCTTGATAGGTCTGTGCTTGTTTAAAGGGAAGCTACGGAGCTTCTTGGAAAAAATGAGTTAGAAGTGAATTCTAGTGTATTTTTACCCAATGAGCCCGAATACCCAAACCATTTGCTGCGTAAGTATTCTTAAACGCGAGAAAAACGCGAAAGACAGTCGCTGTCCGTGACGTCATCGACGGCCCTTTTGGCTGCCCAAGGCTAGGGAGGCGGGGCTTCAGTCCCATTTTGAAATTGCTCGTGTGGCTCTCCGGCGCGTCGCATTGAAATACAATTTTGATATCTGTTAATCTAAAGGCCAAATGAACGCAATTCAAGCGTTTTTTCTCAAATGTAGAAGTGCCCCATCTTCCCTTTAAGACATTGGTCTCACGACCACGTGGCTTGCAACAAACAGTAATACTTAAATCCACTCATTTTGTTTTGCAAACTTTTTTGCATTTGATTTTTGGGACATATGCGGCCAGCGTGTTTGTTTTATAAGACGATAAAGATATCCAGTTCGTGCGTGGCGCAGAAATAAGCTATATTACTATATTCTTTAAGTACCTGCACTCCAACACGGCTAGTACGCTGCTGGAAGCGACTCCATGCACAGTGGCAAGAACACATCCTCTGACGAAGTGCAACCTCTACGGCGCAGAACGAGGGACCGTATAGACCATGTCACGAAACCTGTTTTAAAATGCATAAGTTCACGCTTGCTTTACGAATCTCCATATTTCTTATCATATTAAATTCAATTCTTTATGTGTTTTCCAGGCGATCAATAGAACGTCTATTGACGTTCTATTAATCCGGTCAAGCGGTCCATCACAAGGTGAAACAAAGTGTGCAGAGACTAAAGTCAAAGGAAATGAGCGGGAATCCGCTAGCTTGCTTGTAACCCTAACCCTAGCCTCCTCTATACTGACATATGAGTATAGAGGAGGCTATGCCCCAAACCCACCTGAATGTAAAACATATATAACACAGAAAAGAAGCATCGGAACAAAGACCAAGTAAAAGGCGGACTTACACGCAAAAATGCAGTATAAGAAGACGAGCGTCGGAGCAAAGCGCAATAGGAGAAGAGAGAAGTGTATCTTGCTTTGTTTTAATGCCGAAACAAACCCATAGTTCGCACTTCACAGGCGTGCGCGTGAATGAACGTGGAAGGCAGCAGGGTTGGCCGCTTGCTAAACAACGCTCCCCGAACTGTAAGAAAACAATAACTGATAATCTTTCGGCGGTGAGCGAGTCAACGAGTTATCAGAGCTGTACGAGTTATGGGTCGCCCCCGCTACCAGATCTCAATCTGTTGAATAACATTCTCCATGCCATCGCAAAAAAAAAAGAAAAGACAAGAAGGAAGATGAGGAGTTGTGCATGGCGGTTTCTTTCTTTGCCGCTCCCTTTGCTTCTTTTGCCTTTTGCTTGGTGCTTGGTTTCCTGTTTTGCTCTCGTGTAACACCAGTGAAGCCAGTCGCCTGCGTGTGCGCATCCCTGAAAGGCGCCACCGCCACCCCCCCCCCCCCCCCCCCCGCCCCTCCCCCCTCTGCTCTTTGCTTTGATGCTTGTTTTTTGTATTGCACTTTTTTTGCGTACGAGTCTGTTAGGGCTCCACGTGGGCAAGCAGTTTCCCGCTCATTTTATTTCTGAGCAACTGACTCGCTGACCGGCTCAATTTAGCTGACTGTAAACACACACACACACAAAGAAAGAGAAACAAAAGAATCGGGCCCATTTCATTCCCATTCCATTCCGGGCAAAAGGTATCTAATTCCATTCTCATTCCATTCCCCTCAACCGTTGCCGCCATTCCATTCCCATTCCATTCTGGGGTCTCAAAAATGCGGAATGATTTCAGAATCATTCCAACTCCGGAGTGGCAACTCCGCAACGCTGGTGTCTAAATAGAGCACCAGCGTCTTTTGCTACTGATGAGATCACTCGATTATCATATCTGCCATATGCTTTCGTGCCGTCGCTACAGTCACCATTTACGTGCGCCGCTCGTGTCAACCTTTACCGCCTCACACCAGCATGCGTGCGTCGAACTTCACCGCTTTGTACCAGAGCGCTAGGAGCAGCGGCAGACACGGGGGAGGTCTCAGCACAATTGGCTCAGAAATCATGCCGAGTACTATCACAGGTTGACCTTCTTTGGTCAGAGTGTCACTTGACTTCTAACTTTAATAAAGGCTGTGCCGAGAAAGGGGGTAAAAATGTGGCTATATTTTGATATATAGTTAGTATAGGTAGTTCTTGTGCAGCAGTCTAAGGCAGCAAACTTTGACTCAACTCTGGTTCCAATGCCGCTGATGCACAGTGTCTTTTTTAAAGGGAAGCTGAAGAGCTTTTCGAAAAAAAATGAGTTAATGGTTGATTCTGACGTATTTGTGCATGCTGAGTTCAAACATTGCGACCGTCTAACCCAAAATAATCAAGAAATGCAAAAAAAAAGATAAAAAAAACAGAAGTGATTGCCGCAGCGGCACGCCATTGTCTAGTCACGTGTGACGCGCCACTACATCATAAGAGGACCATCTCGATTCTTGCTTGCTCTGTCGCTTGCGGAAGTAACTAGGTGCCAAGGTTTTTGCTCTTATAAATCGGGTTCAGCTTCTGATTTTTCTATATCTTTCGGTGGATCCAAAAGAGGACCCTCAACGTGATAAAGTATGCGTTCCAGCCATTGGCAAAGCAGAAAAATGACCCACCCGTAGTAATGAGGACAGACAGGAGGAACCGCTTGCGCCGACGCTACATGGCCGGCCTCACGCGTTCAGGAACATACTTACTGCTACTTATTGTAAGGTAAAACATCAACAATAAACAGAGTGCTATTGACAGGACATTTCAGGCCGGATTAGCGTGACCCTCCCCAAAACAGTCGTCAGAGGACGAGAATTTGGCTCACGTTGGCCTTCATGCTTGGCAGCTGCTGAACATGTGAGTGTGCAGGCTGCATTGTTCACGAAGGCTGAAGCAGTTTAAAGGGATAGTATAATCGGCTTTTGGGCGACAGGAGAGCTTCCCCTGAGATTAGACGGGTGATGAGACAGGGTCGCCGTTCTGCCACCGCCATGTCCTTGCGTGCCACATGAATAACTGTGCAGAAGGTCCATCCTTGTGATAGCGGTATAGCGGTATCCTCTGCCGCATTTAGCTTGTTTACCACCAATTATTACGCCATTACAGCTTTAGAAAAAGCGGATATGTGTGCTTGGCAGCCCTCCATTTGATGTCAAATTCATGAAAGCTTCCTGGGCCTCTACATTCACATACTTCTCCCAAGATTTGTTGACTGCATTAGACAACCACCAAGCATTATCATTTTCCGATCGCATTTCTACGGCACAAAGAACCATTGCTTGACGCACAATCTTTGTACGACAAACACTGCATAACCTGTAAAAAAAAGAACTCGATTCACAACAGAATGTCACATGCTTTGTATTTCCAAAAAGCACTCCTGAAGAGAATATGTACCGATGGAAGGAAATTTTACCAAAATTCAAGTTTATGTTCAAAATATGTGACCTCAAATAGGATCAGCAAATGTAAAAAGAAAGTCCATGCTAAAACAAGTTGCACCGTGAAAGTCGTACAATGAATTGCATGACCACTTATTACAACGAACCCTCCCCTCCCAAATAAATAAATAGCAGAAAGGATAAAAAAAAAAAACAATCTTGGGCAGCGGAGTAGGTCCGGGAAAC